CCTGATAAACTATGGATTCTCTTAGAAATGGAAATTGTTTCTAGAGTGGAAAATAAATTTTAGAAATGTCAGTTGGGCTGGAGGCTAGAAGTAATCCCATTGTGAAAGGAGAGACCCCCTCACCCCCCAGATCACAGAAATGATTGAAAGACAATGTAAGAATTGTCTAGAAGGCAGAAAAGGAGGGGCTTAGGACCTACAAAGACCCAGAGTAATTCCTGGCTGTTTGATTTCCAGGTAACCCCTTACTTGAGATTTTTATTTTATTTTCCCATTCTTTGGGTTATTCATTTGAATGAGTTAAATAAAAAGACAAAATAGTTTTGAGGGGGGAAATGGTCAGGCAGCTTTGATATCTATTAACAATCCATCTCAAATCTTAGGACCTGAAAAGTCTTTAAAACAATGTATATTTACTCATCTATATTTGGAATAAGTATGGAAAAGCTAGCTCTTCTCTGCTCCACCATCAGCCAGGATTGGCTTAAAGGCAGGAATTGGAAGGATCTAGTACGATCTGAATGTTCACGCATTTATCTGTTAGTGAGAGATGGCACAACTTCTTTCTCTCTCTGACTCTGACACTATCTCTGTATGGCTTTCTCATCACAGAGTTCTCACTATGGTAGCTTCAAAGTATCTTGTGACGTGTTGGCTAAAGGATTCCAAAGTGGGGTAAAGGTGAGGGGTAGTGCAGAGAGAGAGAAACAGGGAGACAGAGACTGAGATCCAGATACTAGTTGTACTGTCCTCCTATTTTTGTATTATGTAGCCTCCAAAATTATACAGCCTCACTTCACACTGCCTTTTGTTTATTACAACCAAATTAGTAAAGCTGGTTGATAAATGTTAGTTATCACTTTGTGACCTATGTAGACTCACTTTCAAAACACCTGGTGATAGTAAACCTTTGTCATAAAAGAAATAAAAATAAATAAAATGAATCCATAACTCAGTTGTAATTTGAGAAAATCCTTAATTTTTTTTAACTCATGAATACATTGAAATGTAAATATAATGTGGTAAATACAGTGAGGACTTCAACTTCTTCATCACAAATAAATCTTCCTTTGTTCAAAAGAATTTGGAAGTATTTTGGTGTATGTAATGCTTTTGTCATACTGTATACTACATTTTGTAAAATCATTTCTTTATCAAAAATATCTTTGCCATGTTAATAAATAAATTGGCAATTACCAAAAGCCTAGTATACAAATCTAGACAAAATAGCACTTAAAGAAAGCTATTAAGCAGGGTGCCAGTGGCTCATATCAGTAACCCTAGCTACTCAGGAAGCTGAGATCTGAGGATCTTAATTCAAAGCTAGCCTAGGCAGGAAAGTCCATGAGACTCTTACCACCAAAAGCAGGAAAAGAAGCAGTGGCTCAAGGGGCAGAATGCTAGCCTTGAGCAATAAGCTCAGGGACAGCACCCAGGGTCTGAGTTCAAGTTCCAGGACTGGCAGGAAGGAAGGAAAGAATAAAAGGAAAGAAAAGATGCTTCCCAATTTCTTAGATACTAAACTTAATTTTTATGTACATATAACATATAACTAAAGTAAAACATTTACATGGAATTTTTTTATCCTGCTCTATTTATTTTTTAAAATGGTGCTCTGGATCCACTAAATTGATTTTTACCACCCACTAATGAGCTGACCTGTTCTAAACACCAGTCTAAATCATGTGTCACAGATAATTAGAAACCTTGTTAACATATACAACCAAGGTGCTAATTGTTCAATTTGATAGGATGTGCAGAAGAAGAAAAGGAGCAGCTTAATGTGGACAGAAACCACCTGGAACTTCTCAAATTAGAAGTTTTTAACCTTGTGTGGATGGGTAATATAGGTAGTAAAACAAAAGAGAGGAAATAAATAATTGAGAAATTTAATTTGGGAATATAAATCTTTCAAAGATATGAACTTCTTAGAAAAATCTAGGGATTTTATATTATAGAAAGAAAAATATATAAAGATTATTGTTTCAAATAGTAAAATGCTCAGTAATTTTCAAGATGAAAACAGATTTGACTGCATGGTCCACAGAAAATATATTGCAACTTGGAAAAACTTAAATACAGCTTCCAAAGAATAAAACTTTGTAAAACAGGGAAAATTTGATGCACTATTTCTTTTTATAACCTTTATATATTTGGAAAGGATCAAATAATCTGAGCACATTAGCATGAAAACAACTGACTGGACCCCCACGCCCCCCTTATTATATTTTTCTTAGATTCTGGGTTAAGGCAAAACAAATGAAGCTTTGAAATTCCTTTACTGGCTCGCGTGCACTTTTTTTTTTTTTAAAGGAAAGATCTGATCATAATATTGAGGTCCTCAGTACAAAACTAAAAACTATCTGACTAAAACTTAGGTGACTTTGACTTTCATTCAGAATTAATCTCTGACTTCTGGCAAAAAGTAAGCAAACAAAAACCAACGGAGAAGCCCTTCTTGTACCTGTAAGTGAAATGTGCACACTAAAGCACAAACATGTGATCACATTTTTAAAAAGTGTGCAAACTTGGCAGTTAGGAAATGTCTCTGTGATCGTCAGTAGGTGAAATTTCAATCCCTTTGATGAAGATAGCATCTTTCAGCCAAATCTTGACGGAAAACCTTTGGTTCCAGTTAGACCCCTCCTCCCCTCCCCATGGAGCTGCTGGGCTCCATCTGGAGAGGTGGGGGTTCTCCGTCTCCTTCGCAGCTAAGCGTTCACAGACCCGCGGGCAACCTTGAGTTCCAGCAGGGCGCTCGCAGAGCAGCGGAGAATCCCAACTCCGCAAAGAAGAGCTGGAAATGGATTTAAAATGGCAACGCTGACCAATCAGAGCCGTCGCGCCGAAGCAGACATTTACACGCTCCCTCCTCCACCAGCCCTGCAGACAGAACCTGGCGGATCCGAACTCCCGGTTTAGGGCTGCGAAGTAGTCTTAAAAAATTAAAAAAAAAAATCCATGGTGGTCTGCATCTTTGAAAAGAAAAATACTTCCCCAGGCGAAAGTTTGTTTTTATTTTTTACTTTTGGAATTAGTCCAAAATAATTTCGGGTGTGATGTGTGAAAATCTAAACCTCCCTCCTCCCCCAGAGTTTTGTGCTTTTGGAGGATGAAAAAGAGGTACATTTAAAAATGTACTCCACCTTTAAAAATGGACTGTGGCCATGAAGGTGTTCGCATAACTCTGCAACAGCCCGGGCTATAAAGATTAGGACTTGGCAGAAAGAGTACAATCAAGGTACAATGGAAGGGACAGGTGGTACAATTGTACAGATAAGGAATCTCTGTCTCCTTTTATTTATTTTTTTTCCTGTGAACGTCCGAACCCCAAATGTGTAGCGCTAGGCTCCAGGAGACTTCGCGTCGCCCCCTTGTTAGAGAGAGAGAGAGAGAGAGAGAGAGAGAGAGAGAGAGAGAGAGAGAGAGAGAGGATGAATCTCAATGAAGCTGGCGCGCTCCACGTGCGCGTGTGCACATTGTTTGCACGTGTGCATATGTTTGCACTAATGCATGCCTATCCGTGTGCCGTGTGTCTGCGCGCAAGGAAGCGCGCGTGTAACTGTATGTGTGCGCGAATATCTTTGTGTATGTTTCCTGCGTGTGTGCGCGCTCGGCCGCGCGCTCCGTGGAGAGGGCACCCCAGGGGGAGGCGGGCGGTGAGAGCGCGCGCTCCCACCACTCGCCATCCTGTTCGCACTCAGTCTGGGGAAGCTCTGCCACCGACGCTGCCCCGCGCTCTTCCGACAAAGGTTTGGCTCCGCACCGTGGAGGCGCAGGTAAAGACCAAGCCCCGCAAAAACGTGGCAGTAAGGCATTCATATTCTCGCGCCTTCCCAGGACAACCGCCCTGGGGTGACCTCCAGCGGCCAGAGGGGCGAGCCTGGCGGGGAGGAAGCTCCAGATCCTCCGTCCTGTCCCTTTAACCCAGCCGGCTGGCCACAAGCACGTGAGCGGGGCTCCGAGTGGCACCCGGGCGCCGCCGCCGCCCAGGCAGTTTGTATTTCGAACGCTGCCTCTGGCCCGAGGCCAGGCGCCTTGGCTCCGCGGTCCGCCTGGCCTCCCTCCTCCTCCTCCCTCCTCCTCCCCCTCCTCCATCTCATACTTTTCCCCTAGCGCAGCCCCCTCCCCTTTATCCGCCCACGATTAGAGGTGGGCACTCGATCCCGCCACCCCCTCCGCGAGCTCACACACTCATCCCACTGGAACCGCGGGGGCAGGAACTCAGAACGCATCCAGCCCGGGGAGTGCGCGCGCTCCGTGCAAGACGCTGCAGCCAGCTCCCCGGTCCTCTCCCGACTCCGCCGTGCCGCCGCCACCGGCTCCCGCCACCCGAGGAGGCGCGTGCCACCCACGGCTCGGTGCCTTGCTCGACCCGATCCCACCCTCCCTTTGCGTCTCTCTCTCTTTCTCTCTCTCTCTGCGGAGAAGGGTGGGAGGAAAGAGGAGGAGGAATTCTTTCCCCGCCTAACATTTCAAGGGACACAATTCACTCCCGGTCCCTTCCTTTCCCCAGCCACTGCCCAAGTGCTCCCAGTGCCCGCAACTCCTGATCCCCAACTCAGACAGGAGCCTCGCCAACTTCAGCCTCACTTTTCCTGCCTCGCTTGCTTCCCTCCTCCTCCTCCTCCTCCTCTCGCCACCTCCACCAACACCGCTTCCAACCTCCACCTCCGCCACCCACCCATCCACCGGTCCACCACCACCACCACCACCACCACCACCGGCAGCGCCTCCTCCTCCTCCTCCTCCCTTCTCCTCCTCCTTTCTCCTTCTCCTTCTCTCTTTTTGGCAGCCGCCAGAGGTCCGGTGGTGTGGATGGTGGCAGCGGCGGCCGCCTAAGCCACAGCAGCCTTCGCCGCAGCACGCCGGCTCGCGACCCTCCCATTGCCCGCGTCTCCACAGCCCTTTCACCCCCTTCTCCCGAAAGGTGCGCGGGGCACCCTCGGGGCGGCGGAGGCGAAGCGGCTGCAGCGGCGGTAGCGGCGGCGGGAGGCAGCATGAGCGCACGCGGGGAAGGCGCCGGGCAGCCGTCCACTTCAGCGCAGGGACAACCTGCCGCCCCGGCGCCGCAGAAGCGAGGACGCGGCCGACCCAGGAAGCAGCAGCAAGTCAGTACACGGGCGTGGTGGTGGCGGTGGCGGTGGTGGTGTGTGTGTGTGTTTGGAGGGGGGAGTAGCGCACCCCTTCTCTCCGAGGTCTCCACGAGGGTCCCCGGGATGCGATGCGCCAGGCGATCGGAGCGCGGGAGCCCAGTGGTTGTGGCCGCCAAGCGCTGCCCGCCGGCCGGCGCGGGTGGGCGGGAGACCCAGTTCCAATGAGTGCGCCCTGCAGACTCCGGGCGCCCGCGCTCCTCGGGGTCGGGAGGGGGGCGCCGCCGGCTGCAGGGAGCGGGCGGGAGGTTACAGTCCGGCCAAGATCGTCCTCGGACTTTCGCTATTGTGCGCTTCCCAGCGTGGCGCGGGGTCGCCGGGGGACTGCCTGCCCGCCCGCCCGCCTGCCCAGCGACCCGAGTCCCACACGCCCAAGTCCGCCGGCGCTTTTGTGAGCGCCTGGGAAAGGAATCGCCAGGGGGATTGGAGGGGCGTCCGGGCGGAGCGGGGGTGGAAGGAGCTGCAGTCCCGGAGACTCGGAGGGCTCCTTCCCCCCTCTTCTCTCTGCTCCTTTTCGGGGGGAGGGGTGCAAAAGATTGGCGCGCCGCAGCCCCCCTCCCCCCCCAACCCCGGGTGCTCTAGCTGAGTTCTCAGTGGCCCTGGGTTTCTCGCGCCCTTCCGACAAAGAACGAATGCGCCGGGACCCGCAGCCGAGTGCTCTTAGGGATCTTTAAATCCGCGCGGATTTCAATCCGAGGCGGCCGCGGGAAGGGGCTAACGGGAAACCTAGGCCCGCACCGGGCGGGGTTAACCGGCTCCGCCACGGGCGCGTTAGAAGGAGTGTCCCAGAGAGTGTACGGTAACCAGGGTCACTTCCTCGCCAGGCGCCCCGTCCCCCCTTTTGCCCCAGGATCTGGAGCCTCAGAGTTGCAGACATGAAAGGCTCTTCTCCAGGGCGAGGGTCTGGGGTGGGAGGGGGCTCGGGGGGCCGGAGGGGACGGTCGAGGGGCGCCCGAGACCCCGTGGAGTGGAGGGTTTTGTCTGCGGATGCAACCAATTAAGCGTGCAGCGGGTTCTTGCGGGGCTGCGCGCAGCGCCCAGGGCGGGGGGATGTGTGGGGGGCTGCTCACTGCAATTTCCAAACCTCGGCGGCGGCCAGAGTTGGGAGAGGGACCAGACTACTGAGAACCTCTAAATTACACTTCTCGTCTTTAAAAAAAAATAAAAGTTCCCTTCTTTCTTTAGCCTTAACTCGCTTCCCTCATAGCAAATAGATCAGAAAAAGAATCCTAGAGTCTCAAAGCAGCCCCGGAGAAGGTGGAAATGTTGATCAATTCTGTTTGCCGGCCAGTGCATTTTAGAAAAACCGAGAGGGTTGTACCTTTTTGAAGTCATCAAAGGAAAACGAGCCAATCTAGAGGCCCCTGAGTTTTCCCGCTCAGAGCCGGCGACACTTTACACCGTGTTGGAATCCTGTTTTACACCTCCCAGGAAGTCTCTACTCTACCCTCCAACTTGTTTCCCACCCGCCACCCAGCTTTCCCTAACTGCTAATTTCAGCCACCCACCCCCTTCTCGCCTCCGGGGGTGGGGTGGGGGGGAATATCGAGAAGAAATGCGGTGGGGATCTGGAGGTGACTAGAAGTTCTTACCTTTGCGTTAAGACTTAAGGAAAGAAAGAAAGAAAGAAAGAAAGAAAGAAAGAAAGAAAGAAAGAAAGAAAGAAAGAAAGAAAGAAAGAAAGAAAGAGTGTCCTGATGTGCTTGGATTGGAGTTTGCTAGCATCACAGGGCAGGTTGTAAGCAACCCTAAGCAGGTTCTGTAAATAAGACCTGATTTTTTTTTTCTCATTGAAGATTTCAGGCGTTTTAATTAGTCTCGTTTAATCTCCAAATCTGAATGAAATGTGAGTAGACGATTCACGGGATAAATATTTAGGATCTGTCATATTAAACATCACGTTTTCTTAACCACTTGGACATTTACTGTTTGGCATGGGAGCCATTTGAAAACTGCTAAACCTTTGGGTTTTGCAATTTCTCCTCCCAGATAACTTTCACCCCTGCATACACACACTTAACACTGAAGTTTTCCTTCAGTGCACTTCCCCCACATAAGAGTTTTCTTTAAGAGAAAGCTTTGGAAAAAATGTTTATTTTTGCAAAAAGATATTTAAATTTCGACTAGAGACCATGCCTCCCTCTCCAAAAGGAAGTGGAGAATTGAAGCAATTATCTAGATAATTCAAGCAAAACCTCCCACCTTAGATTTACCATAATTATTTGGAGATTTTAGAGGGAACTGTAGCTATTTTGAACCCAAAAGTTGGATAATTGCTCCAATATTTCACTCGGAAAGTGTCGATTGCGTCTTAATCGACTTAGAATGTGGATTTAAGTGATAATGGACAGCCATCTTTTCAATATGGAAGTTTGTTGAAACATCTACGATGTTAAGCTTCTAGTCCTGTTTGAAATGGTAGTTAGCATTTTTACAAAAAAAGAAGTGTTCTATAAATTGCCAAATGCATATCATGTAAACTTTGTATTAAAATTATGTATATATGACTTTCTCATGCAACGTTTTCACACTTTGCTATCAGTTTACTTTTAACCTGGAATCTAGTTTTTGTTTGTAAAATAGTTTCCTCTTTGGACTTTTGGATTGAAAATATATGGTCGTTTCCCCTTTCTGTAAACCCTATTCTCACCATCCATCTATTTGGGAACTGAATAGACTCTAATAGCTTTGTTGAGCAGCCCATGCTGAAAATACAGCTAAAGAGTCAGGGTCAATTTCTTTCAGACCATCTTGCCACAACATCATTTTTTTTTTCTCCCTCCACAATTAGGAGCCAACTTGTGAGCCCTCTCCTAAGAGACCCAGGGGAAGACCTAAAGGCAGCAAAAACAAGAGTCCCTCTAAAGCAGCTCAAAAGGTGAGAATTCCCAATATCTCCTAACTTAGTCAATGACTGCAGCTACCTCGCTGTGATGTCCTCATTCTAAATCTACACCTCAGTGTCTGCCCACATGAATTTCCAACCTTTCACATTAGATAACAGCTAACCATTTGTCTATGTTGATGTTTAGCATACATGAAAATACAGTGTTTTGAACAAACAAAAAGCCCACCAAATAATATGGTCTTTAAAAGGAGGCTGGAGGGATGAGAAGGGAAGGGGTGAGGGGATTGGGGGAGTGGTGCAAATGAAATAATTAATATCTGTACCAATCAGGAAACAGGTAAAACAAGTCAGAGCTGTTGATTTTGGCTGATGGTGGCTTTGTTTTTGGAATTTCCTCTGTAAAATAATGGAGATTCATTTAAATTATGCTTATTTACATGACTACCACAAACTAAGTTCTCCAAATCAATAAAATCAAGTACTTTGCCAAAATAGATGATAATTAAAAGTATGTTCAATTATGAGACACTGGCAAAAATGTTTAATGAAATTTAGAACTTTCAATGTGATAATAAAGAATACTGTTTGATTTATAATAAAGCAGCAATAGAGTCTACCATAATCTCAAGACCCTTTCCATGAAGTGTCATTACCTAAGTTGGGCAAGGAGAAATTTGAAAAATGCATATTTGAAAACACAGAATAGAACCCAATGATATTTTGTGTTCAGTGTTGTTCTGAGCCAATTTTAAATTACAGTCTAAAATAATTTCATATGAGCAAACAGGAAACATCTCAGGTTCACTGTAAGTATAGAAAAGTGAAGGTGAATATAAAGTTACTTTCTTTGGTTTTATAAAAAATTGGGAGAATTTACATTTTATTTGTAGGCATATATATTAGGTGACAACAAAAGTTCAAAAATTAGAAATACATTTTTGATGTTTTTAGAAATATACCATTTAAAGTATTTGTTAAAAAAAAAGACTATTCTCATTTTGGGGCAGGGGTGGGGACTAATGTTATGTGTGTCTCCTGTGACTGTAGCCACTAACCATATTATATAACCATTTATTTAGGAAGTAACTATGGGTTCTATTTTATTTTTAACAGTTTTGAATACAGTTGAAAGATTATATTTCTCTCATATTTAAATTTAACTGTTTCTTATAGCTTAGATTTATGTTAGATTTATTCATATTTAATCAATAAACTTTAAAGTGTCTCTTAAATTATAATATAGAACCTAAAATTTTTCCTATAAATATTATCTGTTTGCTACATTTTACCCCTGGTTTATAAATTAACAAAAAAGGACTAATTTGGCCAAGGAATTCTTGTATGTTGAGCAAGTATGGAATTTATTTAAATTTGCTCTTAGATATTCAGAGGAATATATTGGTAGATAGCTAACAAACACTTAATCTATGAGGTATTGCTCTGAGAATGCATCATTATAATATTTCCTGGAAAGAAATCTGCAAAGCGCACCATAAATAAACAATTTGAAACTTAACAGAAAAAAAGAAAAAATGAATTAACTTCCAGATTTAATTTTATCTCTTTTCTTTGAATGAGTAGATAGAACTGATTGCATCCTGGTCTCTTCATTGAAAACAGTTTACCCTGAACCAAAAGCATCTTTATTGACAAAAAGAAAGCTGAGACTTGTGCCTCATTTACCACCCAAAGCAGAGCAACAAGAAAGTTGATCTGTTCCCAAGTAATGTTTGATTTTCAGTGACTTTAGTAATAGGCCTTTTGCAAATGACCCTAGTAGGTCCTCTACCTGATAATGCTTACTGTGTGTGCTTATATTAGTACAGTTTCCACAACACAAGCAGATTCTCCTCCCCAAAGAAGTCTTTTCCTGAAATTTTTCATTCTTAAAGGCATAATTATTTCATATTCATATTCTTCTAATAAATATGAATGCATACATTTGCCTATAACATAACTGCTGTTTTACTTCAGTTCTATAAATTATGCTTCATTTGGAGAAGATAATACATTGCCAAATAATGAATGACATTGATAAATTGTTCATGGCATGTATACACTTTCAAGTCAGTTTTTATTGAGTATAGTACCACCCCATATAAACATGATTATCAAACTTATACTTCTTTGTCAAATATCTGAGCAAAGCATAGTTCTATTATGAGTTTTAATCATAAATCTTTGTAGAAATACCCTACTAGACTGACCAGAATATATATGCAAAGTCTTCTATGATTAATATATTGGGTATTTTCCTGGATATTAGGATTTGTCACAATAAGAAATACAATATAAAAACTAGTAAGTAAATGAGAGAAAAGACTCTAAAATTAGAGAGAATGCAATGTGACATATATTAAGTTTGGAGTCCTCATGATCTTGTGTGTTGAAGACTTCTTGGAATACTTTAAAAAAATTTTTTAACTAAGTTTATGTTTGGGCTCAGCAACTAGCCTTGGGACATTTGAAAGCAAAACGACTTGTTAGAAAATAACCAGTGTGAAACTTCACAATGCATGCAGAATGTTCCAAAACCAAGTGGCAACTACTAATTACTCATCAGTTTAATTTCAGACTACACTCAATAGAAAATTGATTTATGGAGTATGTAAAACAACCGAGTTTATAAATACATAATTTGCTATTCTTGGAATCTATGGAAGAGAAGATAATCATTCTTCTATTAAAACTAATTCCCATGGATGACTCTAATGTGGGAATTCTTACCATTCCTGAAAACTCCCAATGTGAATGCTGAAAATTTGCCCTGAATCAATTTCCTATTGTTACTTTAATAAAAGATTCAAAAGCTAATGTTTTCCTGAGTACATCACTTACTTGTGTGTATGTGTATCATTTTATTCATTTTTCCCACTTAAAATGCATGTTTTATTATAGTGATGATGTACAATTATTCATTTTTTAGTTTGAGATTCACCCTTGACCACTTGTTTCTTAGTTTCTCTTCCGTTTAGTTTTGTTTTCCTTTTATGGAATATTTTATATTTCACACTTTCTATATGTGGAGAGGAAGATAAATCATGTTTTGTTGATTATTATTGTGAGAGAATGGTGGAGGGTGATCACTAATTCTTCCATGTTTAAGGTCACAAGTCAAATTCTTTTTTAAGTTTCAAGCTAACTCTCACTGAAACACTTCTAGGAAAAAGTATTTTTCTGAGGCTGAGTTAAACTTTAATAGAAAGAAAACACAAAAAAGATATCAGCTATGAGAAAAGTTATTTTTTCATGGTATAGATTGGGTTGACCTTCCTTTTAGCTTTAGGTATAAATGACCAGATCTACAGAGCAAAATTCAGAATGGAAATCCTATCTCGGTAACGTATGTATACTTCAAATATTGTGTTTGGAATGAACAGTTCATTCTTATCTTCAAAAAGAAGGCCTAACCTGAATCGATGAATGCCCTGAATCATTTACAATCCTAGAAAGGTGATTTTTTTCCCTCTCTTAAATTGTTACCGACACCAGTCACAGCTATTTTAGGAAGAGTATGTGTTTTACTCTTAATTTCAGATATATCTCAGAAGAACATAGCTTATATAAAGTTGGACTTTCTTTAGAGTGTAGTAGGCCCATTGAAGGCGGCCAAAGGCCTTTATCATCAACTATCTTGGGCACAGGCATCCTTAAGTTGTGCATGATCATGCAATTTCTGTCTATATTTCTACAGTTCTAGTGTGATTTAGATTGATTGCTTGTGTTCCAGTGATCAGGTAAGTTCCATTTTGGGATTCAGAGCCTTACTGGGAATGTACAAATGGATTCAAGCAGGTGGAATGAAGGAAATAAAGTCCAACTATTTTCCATTATCTTGATATGTTAGGCAGATTTCTTAAACAATTGACTCTTAAAAAAAAACACTTCATTTTGCCAGGAAGGACTAACCCTTATTTAATGCATGGGTAAATTGAATCTGGTAATGCCTTCAAACCGTCATAGATTGCGATCCAAATATAAAATATTCAAATACACAGGAATTCTTTTATGTAGTAATTTTGTGTCAGGGGACCCAAAGTTCTAACTCTCTGGAAACTATCATTCCTCTGAACCCTTTCATCAAAAGCCCTTCATTACTTTGGCTGACCTACATCCTTGGCTCATTTTTATCTCTGAGTCTCAGCAGATCATTTTGCTGAGGAGATTGAATATATCAGATTGGTATTCTGTTGCATTTCAGGTCTTTCTTGGGAGTAGATGGATGCGGAAGAGCATTTTATGCCAGTTAAGTCATTCAAACCTGTCTTGTCTTGTTAGTTGACTTTCTGCAGTTTCTGGAGCTCATCTTAGAACCACTTGGCTTGGTACAAGTGTGGGAACTAAATTTCACCATCTTAGATGCTGCAGTTTTGCTTCATGAATCTTTCTCTTGTCAATCAGGAGAAAAGGATGAACAGAGAACTGAGTATTGCTTGGATTATTGCTTGATTTTATTTTGCTGCAAATATACTAAACATCTGGGGAAGAGCAGGCAGTACCAGGGTTTGAACTCAGAGCCTTTCACTCTTGCTTTGCTATTTACACTCAGGGTTGCACTCTGCCACTTGAACCATACCTCCATTTCTAGTCTTTTGGTAGCTAAATGGAGATAAGAGTCTCCTAAATTTTTCTGCTCAGGTTGGCTTCCAACTGTTATCCTCAGATCTCAGCTTCCTAAATAGCAAGCATTACAGGCATGAGCTACCAGCACCTGGCCAACTAAACAATTTTGAATGACATGTTGTGTTTGATCTATTGAGAGTAGTGGAATAATATAACCATTCGCTTTGCTTTAGGATAGTGCAGGAACAGTTTGCTCAGGAAGTATGCTGTATAACCATGTTTCATTTATTTTCACTTTCATGTTATGTTCAGTGATAAGAATTGAACCCAGGAACTTGTGCATGCTTAGGCAAGCAGTCTACCACTGAACTATATGCCAGCTGCCAGCTCTTCCCTGTCAACTCTTGCATCATTGCTACTGAGATGGTTATTGCCCCCCCCCCCATCCCCCTCCCATCCCCCACCTC